GAACAATTGAAGAAGTTGAAAATTTTACTTCTTATATTCTGAATCACTAAAAGTTGATTAAAAAATGTTTGTTGGATTAAAAAAAAAAAACCAGCTTTCCCATGATAGGCACTGAATGCAGTATAGCAGACAGATTTCTGGCCTTGTAGTCAGAAGACGTAGGATCAAGTTCTGACTTATTTATTACTTACTAGTTTCACAATGGAGGCAAGTAGGTGGCTCAGTGGATAGATCATGCTGGACATGGAGTCATGAAGACCTGAGTTCAAAACTGACTAGCTGTGTGCCCTGGGCAAGTCACTTAATCTCTGTTTGCCTTAATCTACTGAAGAAGGAAATGGCAACCCATTCTAGGTCAGGAAGAGTTGGACCCAACTGAACAACAACAAGCTTCATGATAACTGGACAAATCACAACTTCCCTAGGCCTCAGTTTCTGAAAGAGATGATACTATCTAAACTTTTATCTAACTTGTACTTGGAGTCGAGAAGATCTGGGTTCAAATTTTGAATGAGGCTCTTCTTTACTGTGTGTCCATAGTAAATTTTTTTTCCATAGGCAAGTAATTTAATCTTAGCCTTGGTAAAGTACTTTGTAAACTTGAAAGTGCTATATCAGAAAAGAAGGGGAGGGAAAGAAGAATTTATTAAGTGTCAGGCACTGTGCTAAGCACTTTATAAATATGATCTCATTTGATCTTCACAACAACCCTAAGGATAGACACTATTGTCTACATTTTACAGTTAAAGAAACAAGGCAAACAGAAGTGACTTGTCCAGGATAACACAGCAAATAAGTGTCTAAGGTTGGATTTGAGCTCAGGTTTTCCTGGGCTCTCCATCCCCTGATCCATCTCTATCCCACCTCATCATTATCAGTTAATGTTTTAATGACAAAGCTTTAGGATCAAGGATTAAGACTAAATTGTAAACTTTAGGAATAGTGACTGGACCTATGATTTCATAGAGAACTCCTAGATGGGAAAATTCCCTCTGCCAATGTGCGATAGAGTCTTCTTCAAAACTTAGAGTCTTAGAAGAATTGCCCTAGAGAACTGGGACTTTGCCCAGGGTCATAAATTCAGTATGTGTCAGAGGAAGAACTTCAACCTAAGTTTCCCAGGCTTTGAGGCAAACTCTCCTTCCACCATATTGTATAAATGTGAACTATTAGTAGTACTATCACAGTACCGCCATTTGCAATCTTTGTGACCTTAGCACAAGCTACCTCACCACTATTTCCTCCTCTGTAAAATGAGGGAGTTGGATTAGATGCCCTTTAAAGTCCCTTCCAGCTCTAAATCTATGGTCTTGGATGTTATGATCAAGTGAGATTTAGTAAAGTGCTTAGTACAGTGCCTGACATAGTGTCCGTCCTTCATTCTCAAAGAGGACCAATGACATCAGGAGGGTGATGTCTTGACTTGCAAGTGAATTGGATTTAAGTGAGGCAGGGCTGTGCAAAGTCATCAGCCTCATTCTCTCCTCCAGAGTCATCGGAGTTCACTGGCAAGACATTAAGTCAACATGACTGGCAATGGCCCAGTCTCACATATAGTAGAGGCTTAATAAATGCTTGCTCCCTTTTCCTACCCTTCTGACTTGCCATGAATGAGTTCCCAGTTCTAATTCTTTTTAACACTAGGATAGATTAAATTTTCCTTAATTAATTAAGGAGTATTGTTAAGGTAATGAAAAAATGAGATTGGATTACTTTTACTTTAAAAAAAAAAAGAATGGCATGCAACAACAGGAAAGGTGTAGGATACAGAGCTTGTTGCTTTATCACTTTTTTTTTAACTTAGAGTCCTGACACTGAACAAGTTGGAAATCCCAGCCTTAATCTAAATCCTAACATCAAAAGAAGTTGTCTCCTCTGTTGAGTGCAATGGAACCATGAAAACCAATAAACACTATCTTTACCTGGGAAGAAACTCCTTGGACTTGGTACTGAGGCTCAGAAAGGTTGAGCAGCATGCCCACAATAGCAAAGAATTAGAAGCTTACAAGGATTGGTATACATGAGGCTGCGGCCCCGGTTAGCGAAAAATCTTGGTTCCTGTCTGTTAGGCATGAAACCGCATGAAACTTACATTTTTAACCATCTTAGCCTTTCCTCTTGCTTCCCTTGCTTTCACAGTTCTTGAAATTTCTTCCCCTCTGATCTCCCTCCTCCATCCCCCAACCTAAAGCAAACAAACCATGCCTGCTGGTCACATTGGAAGAGGGTTGACAAGTATGATATTTTATGTATTATTTGTTGAATTACCTGCCCCTGGAAATATCTGCAAATAATGGAGGGAAGTTTGGGGGGAAATGCTATCTCCAAAGAAGACAAAGTCCTACTGCTAAGGTTTCATAATGGTGTGGAGGTTGGCGCTGGGTTCTCCAAGGCTATTCTAATAGAATATAAGCTTTAGAATAGTCGGGGCAGTCAACAAGCATTTATTAAGCACTTACTACGTACCAGGCACCATGCTGCTGGAGACAGAAAGAAAGGCAAAACCAACTAAATAAACAAACAGTTGCTGCCCTCCAGGAGTTTACCAGTTAATGGGGGAAACAACAAACAACAAGAAACAACTATGTATAAACAAGATAAATATTGGATGAACTGGGGGTACTGTCAGAAGGATGGCATGAAGATTAAGGCTTCTTGCAGAAAGTGGGACTTTAGGAGTCTGGTAGAAGGTTAGATTTCCTGAAGTGCCTCTGAAGTTGGAGGACCTCAGTTCACATCTTCCCTTTGATGTCTGCTGTGTGTGTGACCATGGTCAATTCACTTGATCATTCTAGTCTTCAGTTTCCTCAATTTTCAAAGGAAGGGGTTGGATTAGATGGTCCACAAGGTCCCTTCCAGCTTTAGAGTTCTATGATCCTCTGATCCTCGGCAGTTTCATAGACTGTATATAATGAGGACCAGCTTTTTTGGCCAGAACAGCCCCTGAAGACTGCCTTAGAAGAGGCTTCTTGCCATTTCCCAAGTGACTGCAGCATCCACACCAATGACATCACACTTTCTTGAAAGTAATAAAGTATTTTTGCCAATGAGACTGGGGTAGTGTATAAGACTGAAGAGTAGGGAAGAAGGGAGGGAGGCAGAGCAAAACTAATTTACCTGCTAATTTCAAATAATCCAATCAATCAACATTTATTACCCACCTACTGTGTATCAGAAGAGGAAGCTAGGTGTGCAGTGGATAGAGTTCAGGGCCTGGAGTGAGGAAGACTCATCTTCCTGAGATCAAATCAGTCTCAAATGTGTACTAGCTATGTGATCCTGGGCAAGTCACTTAATCCTGAGTGCTTCAATTTCCTCAATTGTAAAATGAGCTAGAAAAGGAAATTGCAAATCATACTAGTATCTTTGCCAAGAAACCCCCAAATGGGGTCACAAAGAATTGGACATGACTTAAAAAAGAAACATCATCATCATGTGTGAGAGAAACTGTTCTCCATCTTCCAGGCATTTTGACAGAACTACGGATTTAAAAAAAAAATTGAAAAACCACAATCGAGGCCAAGCTTTGCTTCTGTGGAAAATTTTGTTTCAATTCAATTCAACAAGCATTTATTAAACACCTAGTTTGTACCAGACTAGGTATACAAGACCAAAATCAAATAATTCCAGCCTTAAGGTGCTCTACAATTCTATTGTGATGAAACAATAAGAATGCCAAAAAATTAAATTTTAATTAAATTTCTGGCAGGAAGCTAAAAGAATAATACAAAGGGTAGTTTGTTAAAAATAGAAGGGAATACCGAAGGGCTCAATGGAAGAGTAGAATGTGATAGAGGGACAGCAGAGGGATGAGCTTGAGCTGGATAGGGAATGGTGGAGGAGAAAGGAAGAGCCTTTAGCCTAGGCAATCTACTACTACTCAGAATCACTGTGGGACAATCTGCTAACCTATGCGTCCCACTCAAAATTACAGGGATTGTGAGCAAAACTATAGGACAGAAGATGTTATTCCCTCCAAAGTAGCAATGGTCAAAGGATGAACACACAAACTAGATGATTTAAACTAGATAACCAACTACAAGAAAAAACAGTGAATGGGCTTCATAACAACCCACAATATATAACATTTGAGTACTTAAAAAATGTTTTCCCAAAGACAATCTTTTAAGGTAGTTAGTGAAGGCATTATTTCTATTTCACAGATGAGGTAACTGAGGCACTGGAGATTAAATGAATTTACTAGGATCACACGCCAGAAAGTATCAAAGCTGGAATACAAACTCAAAATTCAGCAATATTTCCATTAGAGCTGCCCCAGAAGCCTAGAGAAATCAAAAAGGGATCAAGGAGAAATCTTTCCTATGGCAGAAATCTGTTAGACCCAGAGAAAACCAGGTGGCGCTTTTGTAATGGAAAAAGCTGATGATCTGAGTTCTAGTTACAGCTCTGCAACTAATTCTAATTCTCAGTGAAAGCCTGGGCAAGTTACCCCACCGTCCTATGCCTCACTTCAGTCATGTGTAAATGAAAAGCACTGGGGCAAGTTGACCCGTCCTAAAATTTGCACAGCTCGCTCCTCAAATGAGCCAGACAACATGCATTTATTAGGCACTTACTATGTTATACCAGACGATCTAATAGTTTTCTCAAGTGTTCTTTGCCCAAACAGAGACGAGGTTGGGTGTGTTGGGAAGCTGGAGTATTGACTCGTGAATTTTTCGGGGTATCCTAGGCCGAGAGGGCCATTTCTAGACTGCGGTAAGGGCACCTGCCACCTCTTCCCCAGGCCTCACACCCTGCGCAAGCTTTGTGCCAGGGAGATGAGTAAGGAACGCGCCTCAAGCACAAGAGTTGGAGCGAAAGGATGCTGAGAGAAGACCCTCTGTGCTGGAAATCTGAGATCTAGAAGCCCCCCTTCTCTAATAGTTCAGCTGTCAGAGGACAAGAACAGACAGAGCCGTCCCTTTTCTCACCAGCTCCAGGGACTTCGGCAACTCTGATCCCCGTCTTCCCCTCCCGCACCCCACCTTACACCATACCTTGCCATATTTCTTGAGCTTCTTCCGATATTTCTTTTTGGGCTTTTCTCCGGCTGTCTGCTCCTCCAGGGGCTCGTAACTCGCCGGCAAAAAGGCAAAGTGCACTTTCTTGGAGTGGGGTGCCTTCTCCTCCCTCGCCTTACCCTGGGGCCCCGGGCGCTGCAGAGGCAATTCTTGCCCCTCAGTCTCCTCTCCTTCTTCCTCCTCTTCTAATTGCGGGTGCTGCAGGATATAGACCTCCTCCTCCTCTTGCTGCCGCCTCGGGAACCTGCGAAGGTATCTGCCCTCCACCTTCCCTCGGAGCCTGGCGCCCACCGTCATGCTGCCGCTGGAGCTGCTTAACCGCGGCTGACTGCACAGGAGAGGAGAGGGGAGGAGGGGAGAGGAGGGGAGAGGAGAAGAGAGAACCCTTGCTCCCCGCCTTCTCCCTGACCCTCCGCCCTGTGACTGCACTGGACAGGACCGGAGGGGCAGAAGAGCCTAGGTTCCTGGCGCCCCCTGGTAACAAGGGCCAGTATTGCCCATATAAAAAATGCTAGCTGTTAGTACTTCTACTGCTAAGTGAAATCCAACAAAACACTTTCCTTACAGCGACTCAGTGTAGTAGGGAGTGCAAATATTATTATCCTCAAGAGCAGAGGTGACTTGTCCAAGGTCACTTATTATTATTGTTATTCTTACTCAAATTCTAAGCACTCTCTCCACTTTCCAATGCCAAAAACAAGAGCTTGCCAAAAATACTATTTTATGGAGAAACTCACACAGGGCAAGCGCTCACATGGTGGTCTGAAAAGGTGATAGAAAGACACTCTCAAGATCTCTCTTAAGAACTTTGGAATTGATTGTGTGACATGGGAGGATGGCACAGGACCACCCAGCATGGCGTGCCCACATCAGATAAGGCGCTGTGCTCTTTGAGCAAAGCAGAAGTGAAGTACCTCAAAAGAAACTCCAGAGGAGCAGATTTAGAGAATGCACCCCAAAAGTTCACATGGGCTATTCGTGCCAGACCTGTGGGAGAGCATTCCCAACTCCTATTGGTCTGATCAGTCACAGTGGGACACATTGTAACTTGACTCTAACATAGTGATGGCATTTTGGTCCTCTTGGAGAACAAAGGACACCAACCAACCAAATAACCATTGCCTCGTGTCAAATATGTTATCGACTAGGATTACTAAGTCTTCCCTAGTAGGCTAGTAAGCTACCTCCAGGTAAAAATAACCTTATTAATTAGCATTGCTATTATAATCTCCAAAAACCAAACCACAGGACAACAGTCCTGTGAGATAAGTAGTGTCTAATTATATGCATTTTACAGTTGAGTAAACTGAGGTGCTGTAAAGACAAATCATTTATTAAGTGCCTACTGTATGTTAGGTGCTGTGCTAGGTGCTAGGGATACAAAGAAAGGCAAACAAACCAGTCTCTGGTCTCAATGAGCTCACAATCTAGGGGAGGAGACAATATGAAATAAACAGGCTATGTACAAACAAGATACATACAGGGTAAATTGAGGATCATCTCAGAAAAGAAAGGTACTAAGATTAAGGAGGATTGGGAAAAGCTTCTTACAGAAGATGGGACTGTAGCTGATCCTTGAAGGAAACCTGGGTAGCCAAGAGGTAGAACTGAAAAGAGAGATAGTTCCAGGCATGGGGGACAATTAGTGAAAATGCCCACAGTCAGAGATGGAGTTTATGGTGAAAGGAACACTTCTGTCACCGGATCATAGACTATGGTGGGAGGTGGGGGATGGGGGAGGGCAAGTAATGGTAAGAAGACTGGGAACTGAGGAAGGAGCCAGGTTGTGGAGGGCATTAAAAACAAAAGGATTTTATATTTGATCCTGGAAGCAATAGGAAGCCACTGGAGTTTATTGAATGGGGGTAGGGGGAGGAGAAAGGGGGAGTGGTCAGACTTGTACTTTTAGAAGACCGATTTGTCAGCTAAACGGAGAGTGGATTGGAGTGGAGAGATACTTGAGGCAGAGACAAGTCATCAGATTATTGCAATAGTCCAGGCATGAGGTAATAGCAGTCAAGCTTTGTCAGTGGGAGGAAGGGGGCTGAGAAGGGGAAAAGATGCTCCAGAGGTAAGACTTAGCAATTGATAGGATATTAGGCTGGGTGGAGGCAGGTTGGGGGGAATAGTAGTAAAAAAGAATGAGGTACTGAGGGCAATCTAGATCCTTCTGACTCCACATCTGACCCAAACTACTGGGCTTTCATGTCTCATTAATACCTACTTAAAGTTGTTTTGAAGAAAGCATTTTGCACTGGACAAACTATGAGATAATTATATAAAAACAAACAAAAAAACCCAGAAATACTGTTATTGGGGTTGAAAATGGTTATGTCTGAACCACTTTTTCCTCTTTGATTTATGAGAGATCAAGAAAATACAGACTGCTCTAAAAAGGAAGGGCCAGGAAACATTATTTTTTTAATTTCCAGTCCCTAACAAAAGGTGCAGGGCAGGTTACAAAATAAGGTGACCAAACTATATCAAATAAACTCTTCAAGAAAACCTAATTTTACAAGTTTTGTATCTCTTATTTGTAGGTACAATATGCTTGAGGAAAAGTACTCTGCTAGACTGTGAACTTCATGAGGGCAGGACAAGAACTTTGCTTTTATATGACATTTGTATCTTCTTCAGTGTCCAGCTCAGTGGATGATTAATAATTGTCTATTGAATTCAGTTAACTTACTAGAGGCTTTCTCCTCCTATTGTAGGTTCAGATGTAGAGGAAGAGGGGAAAGGAGAGAGCAGGAAATGTGTCTAGTTTGAAACTCTTCCAAAACAGAATGCCAGGTTTTTAAAATCTCCCACCACAATTCGGGGAAAGGAAGCAAAAAATAGGAGAGGGCAAACTGAGGGAAAATAATATTCTCCCAGGAGAATATACACTACATTGATCTTCAAAGGAGGTGACATATCAACAATGAAGGCTTTTTACTGACTGTTTCCTCCTCTGTCAGGCATTCTCTTCCAAAGCTACTTTTTTTAAAAGGGAGAGGAGGAATTAAGGTGGAAAGTTATTCTGTTTAGGTTTTTCTGTGTTATCTGTTCCTAGGGGGGCAATGTAGTAGTACCATGAAAAGTACTCTGGGAGTTGGCAGGCCTAAGTTGGAATCCTAGCTTTGAAACTCTGTTAGATTTGATACCTGCCATATAGGGTTGTTATATGAGCTATGTGACCTTGGATGGATGACTGCATCTCTAGGTTTTAGTTTCTTCATCTGTAAAACAGGAATAATGTTATATATTTATGTGTGTGCATGTGTAGATACATGCACATATATTTATATTCTATATGTGTTTTTTTTTTGTTTTACCATGGAGACCAGGAAAATCCTTCCTGACATTTATTACCTGTGTGACCTTGGGCAAACACAACCTCCTTCAGCCTCAGTTTCCTCATCTGTAAGCTTCACGTAGATATGTATATATACACAGGTACCCACATTCCTGGTTGCTCATCATGTCAGGATAATTTTGTGCCATTTTTCATGAAGGCTGGGGAAAAGGTGGCTTGCCCTATCCTTCTCTGTGACAGTCAAGAGGCCATGAGTACTTGACAAACAAAGCACATGACTTGCCTAGCCAAACCTGAGTCTTGGTTTGGGCTTTCCCTTTTGTTTTGTTTTCTCCTCATTTTAGATGAATGAGTACCTACATAGAGATGGACACATCCAGGCTTAGTGGTAACCTTGTGAATTTGAGAGGTCTAGAGATTCTGTATCTCTTTGGGTGGAACCAACTGGTGGCTCTGGGAAATTTGTGTCAATTACTCCAAGGTTCTGAACATTTGTGACACTAGTATTGACAAATGGGCTAGATAGAATCTGAGCTATGGGCCTGATTGAACCTCAGTACCTTAATGGTGGCCAAGATGGATCTTATATACAGAAAGGCTGTGGGAGGAATCCAGGAGTGGCCAAGTAGTCTGAGATGACTCTGAGGAGGAGTGGAGGGAGGATCTTGATGGGAGTGGCCAGTAGGTTGGGGTGACTGGAGGTCAAAGACTTGAGATCCTAGATAGGATCAAGGGTGGGAAATGGGGGAGGAATCCGGAGGTAACTGACAGTGGAGGACAGGGCTAGGTAATTGAGAATTGGGAGGCTGGGTGTAGGCAATAATGAAAGGCCAGCTGATTAGGATTATAGCCTCAAGGGAACACTGGGGACTTACTTGATCAAGTGAGAAAATTCAAGGAGAGTCCAAGGTGGGGTTTTCTGGGGCTTGTAGACAAATGGGACCCAATTCTTTTTGGGTTAAGGGGCAAAGGTCTTGACTTGGGTCCACACCCTGTCACTTCCATTTTAAATGAATGCATTCCTCTTTATATCGCACTCATTTCAAACTACAGGATTTTCAAGGTTGTTGCCAAACCACTGAGTCATCTGAATATGGTTCCTGGATTAGTTTAACAGTAGAATCAACACAGGTGCAAGATTGCTTTGAACATTGGAAAAGAAGAATTTGATTTATCCAAATTCAAAATAACAGGACAACCATCATGGTTTGGCTGCAATGCTCAGATGACAAAGCTAAATTGTGTAATCTGAGACTAAAGACCTAATTTAAAGATGTGTCATTGCCACAAGGCCTCAAGCAGACACACACCTTTCTTTTAGGTGTATTATTTGACATAATAAAACCACTTTAACATGGTGTTGTTGAAAAGAGTATTTGACATGGAGTCAGAAAGGCCTGGATTGAAGTCATGGCTCTGTCACTCTGGCTGTGTGACTCTCTGAGACTCAGAATTTAACTCTATCATTCTCTTTTCTAATTATTTCAGTATTTCTCCATTGACTACTGAATCAAACCAAACTCTAGCCTCCCTTAGCTTGGTATTCAAGGTCCTTTGCAATTTGGTCCAAGCCTACCTTTCCATTTTTATATCCTATAGAAAACCCCCAAGATACATAACCTTATCCCTTCCCTAACCTGGTGCTTTTTTAATGTCTTTTTTCCCCTGTGTATAAGATCCTATCTGAACCATATATGGATATTTGAAACCTTAATCATGCTTCAGTTTCAGCTTTTGTCACATTGTCTTTTGAAGCCTACCTGAGAAGGCAGTATTGTGTTGTTGAAAGAACAAAGTTATTGTGGGGAGAAAAAAAAATCACCAGAAGTGCCTGGGGTGAAATAAATTTGAACCTTAAAAAAAAAATTAGGTACTTGAAAAAGACTTGGAAAAAATAGACAACTGGCAACTGAAAAGATACTTTTGTTATCATTGCCTTTCCTGACTCCCTCTGCCCTGCACAAGAATTTTTAGTGATTCAATAATTTTGCTGCCTGTTCCATCCACCAGGTAGTGGGAGCATTGATTTCATAAAGATTCAATTTAGGTTGACCTTTTACCTTTGCTGGGACTTGTCATTCATGAGGGAAAGCCCACAAGTACCCATTCATA